TGTATATCTTGGTTGTTCTTTGCCATCAAACGTAAAAAAATGAGACTATGCACTCAATGCAAGTTTAGAGACCTGACAACGTAACTTTTCAAAATTAAGGAGCTCTACTGCACTTTTCTCCTGATCAAAACAGTAGATAGTCTTCAGAAGTGATTTTTTCAGATAAAGAACACTTTTCTATGCACGTTCAGAGTAACACAACCAATGATATCAGAAACATGAGATGATGCAACGCTCAAGCTTAACTTTCTCCTGATCCATGAATATGCTCTCCTTTCAGAAAAAAATAACTTTATTTTCCATGTTGATAAAATCGATTTCAAACAAATGGAAAAAGATACAGATCAAGTATGCAGTAAGAAACACATTATAATATTACTGAAACATTCTCTCCACATAGTTCTCATCACATATCCGGTACGCCTAACAATAGAGCACTGTGAACACTCCTCGCCAATCGCAAACAGAAACAGTAGTGTAAACAAAACCACAAATGCAGATTGAACACCATCTCTCGACCCAGAAAAACAAATTATGCGGCGTAATGAAACGCTAGTAATAATAATATAATTATGCATGGAACTTGATCGCGTGCCAGCCATGCGTAGTTTGTGGTTTCAGCGATCACCACCTGGGCGTGGACTTGCACACAAGGGGCTTCTCCATCTCCAGTGACATGCCGAGGCGCTCCGCCAGGTCGACGCCGCCGTCGGCCGGCGCCCACTGGAAGCGGTGCAGCAGCTGCGCGAGCCAGAGGTGGACGGTGGCAAGCGCCAGCGTCTTGCCGGGGCACACGCGCCGCCCGGCCCCGAACGGCGCGAGCCGGAGGTCCCCGCCCAGCACGCTCACGTCCTCCTCCTCGAACCGCTCGGGCCGGAACGCGGAGGGCTCCGCCCACACCGCGGGGTCGTGCGCGATGGCCCACATGTTGACCATGGCCGTGGTGCCCGCGGGGACCAGGTGACCGCCGACCACCGCGTCGTGCACGGCGAGGCGCGCCCACGAGAGCAGCGGGCCGGGCGGGTGCACGCGGAGCGTCTCCTTCACGACGCGCTGCAGGTAGGGCAGCCGGGCCACGTCGGCGTCGGACACGGCGCGGCCGCGGCCCACGACGGCGTCCAGCTCCGCCTGCGCCTTGGACTGGATGCCCGGGTGCAGCACCATCCGCGCCATCACCCACTCCAGCAGGATCGCTACCGTGTCGGTCCCTCGAAAGATCATCTCCTGAGTGTTGCGTATTACATTATTGTTTGCAGGAACAAATGAAACGCATGATGCATTTTGTAACTGATCGAAATGGATGTTAGAAATGCAATATTCATGAATGTCACAATTCCCCAACTGTTCTTGGAAACGTAAAAGTGTTTATTTCTTACCCAGAGGACAGCGATCATGTCGGAGTCCGACAGCTTCTCCTCTCCCTCCAATCCCAGCAAGACGTCGACGAAGTCTCCGGCGGCCGACTCGCCACTGGCGTCGTCGTCCTTCTTCTTCCGCCTGTGCTCTTCGATGATCCTCGCCACGAACACGTTCACCCTGCTCACCAGGCTCCTGCACCTCCTCCTGACGCCTTGCAGGTCCAGCCACCTGAGCAACGGCATGTGGTCGCCCCAGTTGAACAAGCCGAGCAGGTCGTACCCTTCCTTCACCATCGCCTCCAGCTCCGCGCCCTCCGCGCTGTCGCCGTCGTAGCGCGCGCCGAACACGGTGGCCATGACGTGGTCCAGGGAGGCCGCGTGGAGCATGCGCCGCATGATGACCTCTCCGCCGCCGCCTCCGGCTGCAGCGTCGGAGAGGTCACGCAGCATGTGCTCGCCGATGGCGACGCGGCGCGGCGCCGTCGCGGACACGCTGCGCGGGCTGAAGAGGTAGGTGGAGCTGATGCGGCGCAGCGCGCGCCAGTAGTCGCCGGAGGGGGCGAAACCCATGGCGCGGTGGAAGAGGAGCCCCCGCGCGGCGTCCTTGACGGGGCGGTCGGCGAAGGCGGCGCTGGCCAGGAGCTCCCGCGCCGTGTCCGGCTGGCTGGCCACGACGAGGCGCGTGAGGCCGACGGAGAAGGCCGACAGCGCGGCGCCGCCGGGCAGGGACCGCGACAGGGACGCCAGGGCGCGGTGCGCCACCGGGCCCGCGAGCGCGGTGACCACGCCCGGCGCGCCCGGCGGCGCGCGGGACCTGGATGAGATGAGCGCCCACGCGGGCCCGCCGGGGGAGAGCCAGAGCAGCGAGAGGGCTACGAGGAGCACGGCGAGGAGCGGGGAGAGTAAGGTGGCGGCGGCAGGGAAGAGGAAGAGGAGGGAGTCCTGGGTTGTGGTGCTGAGGGTGGCGTCCATGGCGACGGCGTGGGGGAGGGAGGTGGGAAGGCTGGATGGTGTGGGTTTTGAGAGCGGGGGGCGGAGAGGGTTTAAATAGAGGAGGAAGGCAGGCAGACCTTGTGTGCTGAGCATGACATTAAACAGAGGAAGGCAGACAGACCAGCCGGAAAAATATTTTTCACTCACATAAATCAGTTAGCGGTACTTTTTTATGAATCAGTAATGAAACGAATCCACCAACCGAACATGCTGTAACGGCTGGAGGAGAAATGGAAACGCATTGTACTAATTCCCCTGGTTAAAATGTAGCAGCTTTTGCAACTGACCTTCAGCTTTCAGAAAGAAGTGCTACAACAAGAAGTTTTAAGAAAAGAATACGTAAATTGTACTACTTAGCAGTTGCCATATAGGGTTGCTCTTAATTTCAAAATCATTCCAATGCAAGACCATAGTTTGGAAATAAAAATTATGTGCAATTTGCATGCCATCTTCTTCTTCTTCTTCTTCTTCTTTTTGACAAGCATGCATGTGCTAGCACTCCGATTCGCCTTCAAAAATTTTAAACCATCTTACGCGACACTACTTGAGTTGTTAAATTTAGCATGCAATACTTGCAGTTTCTTTTTCCAACCTAGCATGATTTTGATAGCTAATAACGACTAGCAGATGATTGTATATCTAAATTAAAATTAAAATGTACATTTACTGGAGACGTAACGCGCACTTGATCACAACCTTTGTTGCTCCAGTCATAGAATTAAGTGGACCTATTAGTCTCTGGACTAAAGTGTAGGCCCTAAGCTAAACTTTAGTCTCTACCTTATTTGGATTGAGGGAGTAATGGCCATTAAAGCTGTTGTACAAAGACCAAAACGTCCTAGATGCACCCAATCTTCTGGGGGGTCCATAGTTGTAAATTCCACTCCTATACCAGCCGGAATGCCTCGTATCGGCACCTTGACCGGTACAGAAGAGCCGCAATCCCATACCAGGTCAAATATCGGTTAATACTGGGCAAAACCGATCAGTACCGTCCGTGACTGCATGTATTTTATTTTCCCATGTATGAACTTTGGAGTTTGAACTTTGAAATAAGGTCTTATGAACTTGCTGAATGATACGTTAGTTTGGTAAAATTGATAATTACACCATAAATTAAGTCGGTATATATTTATATGCACAATGTATAAGTATATTCATATATTATTATTATTATTATAAAGCCCGGAACGATACGTTGGTATAGTCAGATATTCCAATAGCCAGAACGGAACAGCCTCCGAGAGTCCAACTCCATCGCTCGCGCTTTTGTAGTGATCGTGGTGAAGATATTCGGTAGGATCTTGTAAGCACTGCAGGTGGGCCCCGGACAGACGAGCGCCAGGCGGCTGCATGCCCCCCGCGGCGCCCTCGCTGGCTCGGCCTCGACCTCGGCCCCGGCCCCGGTCCCCGGCCCGCCGCCCGCCCGTGTAGTGTAAAGTACGTCTGCGCCGCCGCCACCTACACGACGGAAGCGCGGCGCGAGCGCCGACACCTACACGAGCGGCGCGGTACTTGAGCCGACTGGGACCGTAGCTACTCTGCTCGCTTAGCTAGGCTTCCGCCGCCCGCCGCTGCCTCCAACAGCTCTCACTAGTAGAGTGGGCTTTTCCATCGCATGCAAAGATGCAAAGAGAATACAAACCACATTTGCAATCAAGCCACAGGGAGCTGGCAACTTTCTGGAGTAACATTTTTGTTTTCGGGCGGTATCACCAAATGTTATCGGCCTTGTGGAGCAAACAAAAACTCTTTTTAGCAAACATTTCTAGAGACAGTTTTGTTGTGATTAATACATTCCTCTAAAAGCCGTTTTGAAAAACATTTAGCAAACAACATTTTTGTTTTCGGACGGTATCACCAAATGTTATCGGCCTTGTGGAGCAAACAAAAACTCTTTTTAGCAAACATTTCTAGTGACAGTTTTGTTGTGATTAATACATTCCTCTAAAAGCCGTTTTGAAAAACATTTAGCAAACAAACACTCTGTATAATTACGTGGCGATAAACATGACTAATACTGATTTGAAAAAAACCGGTATAATGACTAAAAACATTTTAGCAAACATCTCTGGTGACAGTTCTGTTGTAATTAACTCATTTTTGCAGCTCCTGTTCCTCAGTAGCAAAACAGATCCAGTCATCCAGACTACTAATTTCCAGGACTTCTTCGCCACAACGGTTTCTTCGATGACCATTTGCCAAAGCTTCAGCCATAGCCGAAGCCGCTTCAGAAGCCCCGTCAAGCTATACTCAACTGCTATGCCAGGCGAGTTAGCATGCAAGAACACTTCACCAGACGCATTGAAATCAACAAGGGTACAACATTTCAAAGGGAAATAAAGAAGCACTGATAGATCCCATGGGCAACAACCAAGCCATACCATCACAGAGGTGCAAACGAAACACGAAGCTGGGTACAACGACGACTTATGATGAGGGTTCAGGCACACGATTTGCCCTGAAATTTAGAGACAGATTACGGCCCTGTGCAGGACGGGAGGGTTTGCCACATAGAAATCAACCATGCGCACAGAGCATTGCACGGGGTACACACACATGAAACGACAACAAAGGTTGTTCACGATTTAGACATAGCATGCAGCGGGGCAGGGGAGGATAACTTGGTGAGCGCTGCTAACATCAGCATCAGTTGCCGCCAAACAGGTAGCCCAGGGAAGAGCCACCACCAGGAGCAGCGTGGACCTTGGTCGAAGGACGATCCTGCAACCATTCACAAACAACAACACTATCAGTTAACCAGGTCCAAGACTTAGTATGACATGGTTCCATTGCATAGCTGTTCGGCTGGCTGGTGGCTGGCCGGCCAGCCCACTCACGAAATCACTGTTCACGTGAACAGTGATACCAGACAGAGCAGTATTTTCCTCTCACAACAATCAGCCGGAACAGTATTTTGGCTTATTTTTCAGTCCTGCCCATGCCCAGGAGTGATTAGGTAACCAGGTTCAACCACTCTCTATGTTATATATATAGTTTGCAACAATGTTTCATATATGAATCTGTAGTTTTCAATGAAACTGCAATAGGATTCATAATTCGGTATTCCCTGGAATGAGGATGAGGATTCATAATTTGCGCCCTTGTATTGCCCAATCAGATTCTGCGTCATGACACAACTATGGGAATGTTTGGTTCCGCAGGTTCTGGCTGATAGTTTATGGAAAGACATGGCCTGACTATTTTCTTAGGGGCACTTAATTTTTTGCCACTAACAAGGTGTTAGCATTTAGTGTTGATGCTAAAATGGTACATGGCTCATGATTGATAGTCCAAACATTCAAGACTTCAGGATGTAGCACAACAGGTCAACAACCCCACAACAATCAAGACTCAGTACGCTTTAAAAAGCAATATACGTGATTGGAAGTCTTTCCATCAACATAATTCGAGCAGGTTGTTAGAAAAAGTACATACATTTTGTGACAATGCAACACAAACTACCATACTGCTTTCTCATAACATGATTATACCTCATCTAAACATCCCACAAAAATATGACATCATTTCTAAGCATATCAATGGATGATGGCAACAGTAAATATGTAAACCAAAGTCTTATGTGAAATGAAAAGAACGTAAACTAGCATACCGTAAGGAAGTTCCCGGTGTTCTGACCATCAGCCCTGTGGTAGTTATTGGTTTGGCTGGTAACCCCAGCAGCAATCTGCTTGTTCACATCAGCCTTTGCAGCAGGTGGTTTCTCAGCAGGTGGAGCACTTGCAGCTGGTGCCACTGCCGGTTTGGGGGGCTCATCGCTTCCAAAGAGGTAGCCCAGAGAACTTTGACCACCACCGGCGCTACCGCCACGGCTCATCTTGGTTATTGAAAAGAGAAACTATACAAGGATTTAATCAGGTATCGAGCATTACTTCAACACACATTGTACAAAGGAACAAGAGAGACAATGCAAATCAATTTAACATCAAGGACCAACAGATAAATACTAAAAATATCAAAGCCTGTTTGGATCTGCCAACAACACTTGGTAAGGATGTAGATCCGCCGCAGCCAGGGGCCCCGGGGAGGGGATACCCTGCGGATCGACGTCGATGGCTCACAAACACCAACAGATCCGCGTCTACCGACAGGCAGCGGAGGCTCGGAATCCAGAAATGGGCGCGGATCTCACATCGCGGGTAGATTCAGGCGCTTACGGCGCAAATCAGTGCAGGGAAACGAGACGACGGACCGAGGCTAAAGCGGGCACAGGAGGGGGCCTTACCGAGAGGCAGCGGCGAGGAGATGGATGGCGACCGGCGGCGGGATCGGCGGGGTCGGTGGGACTGCGGCTGCTCCGGTTCTCTCTCGCTTCTGCGCTCAAAATGGAGAGGCCTACGGCTGGTTTTGTATACAAGAGGGGACGGTGGGCCTAGGACCCCGGGGATGGATGGGCCCAGCACCTGCAGCCGGCCGTCCGATCTCGCCACTGACGGTGGTGATGGCTCCGGGCGCCCGCGTGCAGGAGACGCTCCTCGATACTCCCCGCCGGCTGCCAGCCTGCTACGGCCGGAAACGCATAATGTTTTTTTTTTCTCGAAAAAAACACGCATCCGCGCAATGCTAGGTCGGAAACGCAATATTTGATGGACGTGGAGTAAATTTTAGAGGAGGAACTAACCAATACTTACTGCTTCGGTTTGCAAATGTTTAACGTTTGCCACCCGCCTATCAAAAAAAAAGTTTGCCACCCATGATATTTTCCAGCAAATATCTAACATCGCAAAATCTCCATCTATTTCTCAAATATTCATATGAATTTTGTAGAAATATGAAATTTAGCATTCAAATGAAGTTGGAAAAACACCCCGTATTCCAAAGAGCTCGAATGACACCGAGGAAGGTTTCCACACAAGCACAGTAGACAGTACCCATCCACAGCCATCAACGTGGACCTTGTTTTTCATTTCATGCGGCTGGCAAAGGGAATTCACCCAACTGTAAGATATGATGTGATTGCTTCCAGAACGGTGAAATGCTTTGAACTAAATCACACAGATCAGATCCATGAGAGCTTTAAACACACCAGAAATTCACCATCGTTGTAGTAGCACACATCAAGGCAAGCGTTTGATACACACTTCGTGAATCGTGAGTTCTGTGCGGGAAAAGGGTAGGAGGGATCAAGTCGAATAACACGCACGAAGCTACAAATCACAACAAAATGCCCTTGTTTCCCCTGTAGTAGCACACACCAACTTCCCATTACAAAGTAAGGATACACACACAGCTACCCCTTAGCTAGTCGTCCTAGTGTACATGGAAGGGGGTGAAAGTGAAACAACTAAAACGTCCTGGAATACTTCTTGATTTCGAACAGGATGGAGGATATGGACACCAGGTCCTTGTTGAGGGCAGAGCCGCCGTTGATCCTCTTGACACACTCGGTGAGCCTGGTGTAGTATAGCAGGAGCTGCGCGAGTGTCGCTCTCAAGATCTCCATCCCGCACAGGAAGTTGCTGAAAGATGTGATCACGTCATAGTGCATCAGCTCGATCGCGGCCTTGTACCGGCTCGCGAAATCCTTTACCAGTGGTTCGACTTCGGCAATGCTGGCCTTCTCCGAATTTGTAGCCGTTTCGTCCGCTGATACAGTTCAAGGATGAAATGTCATTCGAAAGTAAGAAAGAAAAAGAGCATACAGTTGCCAAGAGATCTCAACTCACCTGGACGAGATTTGACGAATTTGATCAAACTACTGAACTGCTCCAGGAGCAACTCTTCCTGCAGAAACACGCATGCGTTGTATCAAGAAACTTCAGTAGAGTTTTTTAGGAAATGCTAGTGTATTAATGCATACAAGAAATTGGACAAGACATGAACATCATAGAAGTCCTTGAACAGAGACAAACTGCAGCTCCCTCTAATGTCATTAGCATTAAACACATGAACTTTTATGTGTTGCTACTAGGTAATAGCAGTCAATGGGCTTATCCTAGTTTACTTTGTACAAATTTGCCATATTTCATTCTGTCACAAAGCCTTGGCAGTCATATAAGAAGCTAATACCCCAACTAGATTTATGTATTTATTTGTTTGAACTCTGGAACTCTGGAGGATCCACCAGCAAGCTAAAGAAATGCAGTGAGTAGTATTTTGCCATACAGTTGTTCAAGCTATATTCGTTTCAAAAAATAAAAAAGAGAAAAAAAGAAAGATGTTCAAGCCATAAAACTGCATACCACATATATTGCAATGTTGCTCTTAAGAACCTCCTCGAAGTGTTGTTGTGCCTTGCCACCCTCAGTTCCAGCTTCCTTTATGTTGATGATAAGGTTAAATTTGAATAAGGCAATTGTAGTATTATTTTATAAATTGCTAACATACTGGGAAGTTACTATAACAGAAAAGGTTGCCATTTAAAATCAGCTCGAGAATTTCTACCTTTAAAATGGAAATTGTTAAATCATAGTTGTTTATCAGAAAAATAGTTTGCAACTTCGGTTTAGCAAACATCTTGGCCAACTTAACAAGCAAGTCCTCAATAGCCATCCGCAATCGCTCCAAATTTAAATCAAGCTGCACATAGAAGCCAAAATTTGAAATTTCGATGAGCTACAGAGAGTGTACTTATGGCATGCGGTGAGGGTGAAAGAAATTCAGCAAACAGTAAACAATTTTGTTTATGTGATCAACTAACCTGACCATCCCCATGTCCAACATTGAGATGAGCTAGAGAAGCTGTAAATTCAGCATATCTCCTTGTAACATAGTGTGGATGGACATCATCCTCCCAAAGAGTCTTAATATTTGCATTTCGCAAGCTGTTCAAATGCAAGTCGAACACCATCTTGAAGCGAGGCCAGAGTGACATATTAACCTGTCCATTGTCCATAAATTGTGCTCTGTCATTCAAAATAATGGAAATGGAGCAGAGGAAAGACTCACATAAGGAGCAAAGAATGGATTCAGAACTGACCTTGTCTAGGTAAGAGTCCAAACATGGGATTCGCCGCTTAAACATGATGAGCTGCACAAAATACACATTCAATTGAGATTTAGCTAAATATATACCAGCTGCTTGCACCAGTTTATGCACTAAATGAAAGCAAATAAATTTCCGATTAAATATAATGTTTAAAAAGAAACACCAAAAAATACAAAAAAATGGGTAGATTTTCAACTACATGGGACTGTAAGACAATCCAATACATACAGTTTAATCTACTGTCTCAAACTAGGTGAAAACTGATAGCTTCCAACTAACCGAACAGAGAAATTGGATGGGTGAATCAATATCTACCAAAACATTGATCACAACTCACAACCACTGTGAGAACAGAAAACACAATTGTCCTCAGCTTTATTCTTAATAAGACATATAAATGTCGATATCACTAGCTGTTCCATCATAAGGTAAATCAAAGTTCACCTGGTGCTGATGAATTATTCTGATCATAAGCATTATGCCAATTGCATCATAACAGTTCAGGAGCACAGCATTGAAATGTTCATCTACAACTTGAATCGGTCCTGAGGGGGCAAAACAGAAACAGACAACTAAAACTAAAAATCATTTGCAGTCAGCATAACAGAAAATATGCTAATCTTTCTACAGAACTTAAAAATACCCTAATATGCTCCTTAATGGGGAGAACTATATTATGATGAAAATAAGAAACTCGGCTTAGTGATATGGTAGCTAAAAAAAACTCATAGATAATGCAACTAATCAGATCCTATTTTTTCTCCTCACTCATTGGATGTATGCATGAAACTTTGATACGTGTATCACGCATATGAGATTGATACATTAATGCAATTGGTACGTTCGGAAAAATAGTGCATGAAAGCAATATTGGACAGGCAAGGTAAGGGCAACATGCTAGCAGTTAAATATAGGTGTACTCTGCACAAGATAGACATAAAAGTGAAACAAACTTGATGGAAGCAGGATGAAATACCTGCAAATATATCATGGAATATGGATTCTTCGCCAAAGAAATCATCAGTAAACAGGTATCTGCAGTTTGTTTATATATGTCACACTAGCACTTTATCATCATGAATAAAATAAAATGTGGACTAGATGGCAACCCAAAGCTTACTCTGAAGTGGCAGTATCAATAAGAAGTTTCTGCAAGCTTCTGAAAAGAACTTCATATGAGTATTTCTGTGACTTCGCTTCAGCTATATGAGGTATCAATGCTGGCTGATCGATTTCCTGGTATAATAAAGAAAGCGAAAAACAGAACTTACACTATTACGCTTGGTACTTGGTAGTTTGAGCAAATAAATCCTTCAGCAACAATATACAGTTCAAAAGATCAAAAATAAATAAATGCAAGGCCACATTGCAATAAACCAACAAAAACTGATTTATCTCAAATCCTTAAACAGTTCATTTATTATAATTACTACCGCTTCATGGGTGTAAGTACAGATACAGGCAAGCTGAAACTACAGACATGTAAATAATCAAACAGTTTGGTTTGAGCATAATGGCCTAATGGGCTATGCTCTGATGGCAAATGCTAAACTTCTATTGGCAAGCTTTGTCCACAAATTAAACATCTTATTAACAGGTAGAAAGTTCTGATTAGTTGCCACTACCACAATAACTGAGTTAAGCTCCCACTACCATGATTGAGCCACTTATGAACTTCAAAGTTCTGAACATTATGTCATTATCTGAATGGAAGTGGTAATAAGTTCACCTTTAAAATGTTTATTCGTTCACCCAGAGCAAACACTGAAGGACGGGTTTTCAGAGGTTCTTTTCCAATGGAGAAAATGAAGCCTGTGCTTCTGGTTTCAACACCAAGCAAGTCGGTGGAAGTTGCTATGTCCATCTGTAGTTTCTCCAACGCTTGTATGTAAGCCCGAAAATGTGCACTTAGCACCTGAAAATTGGTAGGAATAGCAAAAAAATCTAAAAAAACGCCAAACAACTAAAGTTGGTCATGCACACATGTATAGGTCTTTTATTGTTCACTTTTCTGCTACATGGTAGCAGACTTACAAAGTTTCAAATGGAAATTAGAACAACACTGACGTATATGAAGGTTGGTGCCAGAAAACTAAAACAAGTAATTAGCACAGGAGCAGAAAGAAGCAAAGGCAGGCAGGAACAGATGCCAATGCTCCAGGTCCCAAATTGGGTAAAGCGGTATTATCCTCAACCCCCAAGTGAAGCAGTCTATTCAAACACATAGCAGCCCCCTCTTGCTTTGATCAAGAGAAGTTTATAGTATAAGTTTGAACCCTTAGGCATTAGCGGTCAGCGGTGAAACCGAAAAGAGAAGGGGCGTTAGGAAAAAGTTTTAACAACACCCCCCCCAGTTGCAAGCCCAATACGCAACACCGACCCTCCAAGTCCCAATAGGAGGCTGCTGGGAAGGCGCACAGTCACAATGCCACTGCACAGCAGGCTGATCCATAAGGATTGACTGAACCTTCTCATCTCACTTCAGAAAACCATGACACAACCAAAGGGATAACAGCTAGCAGGGTAGGGTGACTGTGGAGGCAGGTGTGCAGTGATGGATGGTAGCTTGCCTTCAACAGCGATTGATGAAATCACGAGTCATGGCACCAAACAAGTGCAACATACTGAAGTCAATCCGCAGTCTGGTGCTTCTCGTGCTCAGCCTCAGGAAGTAGCCCGCGTGGATGAACTAAGCCCATGTTTATCCCAAATTCATTTCTCTATTTTCTTAATTAATGCAAGGATCTGCAAGTTGTGTATATCTACGAAGCATGGTTAAACAATGTCATGGTCGGGCGCACGTACACCAGGCGTCGTCGGGCTCGTGACGTGCGCCGCGACGCTGCACGCGCGGAACGCGCCGAGATCGCGCGCGAGGACGACGCGCTGGGCGCGATCACCACGAGTGGCTAGGAGGAAAGCCGATCGGGAGTTTCTGTTTTTAGTTCCTTGATTTCAGGAGTGTGTTGCTCCATTCGTTGGGCCTTTGGCCATATATTGGGTGGACTCGGAACAATTAAGGAGGAAGAAAGATTATTATCGTCCAACAAGTCTGCGGCGGAGGGATAAACCTCGCCGGAGAAGACGGACCGCGGCTACGAACAACTTGGTATCTTGGTCCAGGCGATCCTCGTCGTCACGCTCGTCATCTCCCCAACCGTCCGCCACATCTCCGCCATATCCAGCCGCCACCACCCTGCCTAGCCCGTCGTCTGCCTCCTCGTCCTGTGCTAGCACGATGGGAGACGATCTCAAGTCCACCGTGGAAAAGCTGGCCGCCGCTGTGCAGACCCTCCATGCCACCGTGGAGGCAAACGCCAAGGCGATCCAGACGCTGTCCTCTGATCGCACGTCCACCTCCGGCGGGAAGTCAACCACCGGCGAGCACCACACGGACCGGCCGCCGAAGTTCCAAAAGATGGACTTTCCGCGGTACGACGGCAAGTCTGATCCGCTCATCTTCATCAACCGGTGCGAATCGTACTTCCACCAGCAGCGAATCATGGAGGAGAAGGTGTGGATGGCGTCCTACAATCTCGAGGACGGGGCGCAGTTGTGGTACATCCAAGTCCAAATGGACGAGGGTACCCCGTCATGGCGTCGTTTCAAGGAGCTCCTCAACCTTCGCTACGGGCCGCCCCTCCGTGCCGCCCCTCTTCGAACTCGCCGACTGCCGCCGCACGGGAACGGTTGCGGAATATCAGGACCGTTTTCAAGCGCTCCTTCCCCGCGCCGGACCTCTAGACGACGCGCAGCGGGTACAGCTGTTCACTGGCGGACTTCTGCCGCCGCTCAGCCTCGCAGTGCAAATCCAAAACCCGCAATCACTCGCCGCCGCCATGAGCCTTGCCCGGCAGATGGAACTCATGGAGCAGTACACTGCTGCGCCGCCTAAGGCTGCTGTTCGGGGCGTCCTCCCGGCGCTTGCACCGCGCCTCGCCCTGACTCACCAGCAGGCACCCAAAGCCGCGACGCCCACTGCCACCGTCGAGGGCCAGCCGGTGAAGCGTCTCAACTAGGCGGAGCAGGACGAGCGCCGCCGCCTCGGCTTGTGCTTCAACTGCGATGAAAAGTACAGCTGTGGCCATAATAAGGTATGCAAATGCTTGTTCCTTTTGGACAGCGTCGTGGACGCCGCCGCCGACGACGCCGACGGCGAGACCACGCCGGACACGGAGGCCCCGGTGTTCTCCCTCCATGCAGTGGCAGGCGTACCCATCTGCACCACTCTGCAGCTGCGGGTGGCCCTGGGCGCTGCTTCTCTCGTCGCGCTCGTGGACACGGGTTCGACCCACAGCTTCATTGGGGAGACAGCAGCCCAGCGCACGGGGTTGCCCGTCCAGCAGCGCCCGCGGCTGACCGCCACCGTCGCCAATGGCGAGAGGGTCTCATGTCCCGGCGTCATCCGCCAGGCGCCCATCTCCATCAACGGCAGGAAGTTCCTCGTCGACCTCTACGTGATGCCCCTCGCCGGGTACGATATGGTCCTCGACACGCAGTGGATGGCAACGCTCGGCCGCATCGCCTGGGACTTCGCGGCAGGCACCATGGCATTCCACCAGCAAGGCCGCGAGGTCTGCTGGCGCGGCGTGGCGCGGCGTGGCGCAGCAGAACGGGCCGAGCCTCCATGCGGCCGTGGACGGTGACTCCCTCCTCAACGGCCTGCTGGGCTCCTTCACCGACGTCTTCGCCGAGCCCGCCGGTCTACCTCCACCGCGCAGCCGCGACCACCACATCGTTCTTAAGCCCGGCGCGTCCACGGTGGCTGTGCGGCCGTACAGGTACCCGGCGGCGCACAAGGACGAACTAGAGCGGCAGTGCGCCGCCATGATCGAGCAGGGCATCGTCCGCCGCAGCGACTTGGCGTTCTCCTCCCCGGTCATCCTCGTCAAGAAACCGGACGGCTCGTGGCGGTTCTGCGTCGACTACCGCGCATTGAACGCGCTCACGGTCAAGGACGCCTTTCCGATTCCGGTCGTCGACGAGCTCCTCGACGAACTCCACGGCGCGCGGTTCTTCTCCAAGCTCGATTTGCGCTCTGGGTACCACCAGGTGCGCATGCGCCCAGAGGACGTCCACAAGACGACGTTCCGCACTCACGACGGCCTGTACGAGTTCCTGGTGATGCCGTTCAGACTATGCAACGCCCCGGCGACGTTTCAGGCTCTCATGAACGATGTACTTCGACCATTCCTCCGTCACTTTGTACTTGTTTTCTTTGATGACATTTTGATATATAGCAAGTCATGGGCGGACCACCTTCGTCACCTCCGCGCCGTCACCTCCGAGTTGCGCCATCACCGCCTCTTCGTCAAGCGTTCCAAGTGCGCGTTCGGCGTTCCGTCGGTCTCCTACCTCGGCCACATCATCTCGGAGGCGGGCGTCGCCATGGACCCGGCCAAGGTGCAGGCCATACACGACTGGCCGGTGCCTCGCTCGGCACGGGCGGTGCGTGGTTTCCTCGGCTTGGCGGGCTACTACCGCAATTTCGTCCACAACTACGGGGCGGTGGCAGCGCCGTTGACAGCCCTCCTCAAGAAGGGTTCTCCTGGGGCGAGGAGGCGGCCGCGGCCTTCACTGCACTCAAGGCTGCGGTCACCACGGCGCCGATCCTCGCCATGCCGGACTTCACCAAGCCCTTCATCGTCGAATGCGACGCGTCGTCCCACGGCTTCGACGCCGTGCTCATCCAGGAGGGCCACCCGATCGCCTTCTTCAGCCGGCCCGTGGCACCTCGGCATCGTCGCTCATTGATACTCTGCCTTGAGCTCATCGGCCGGTCCACGCCAATGCGCGCCATCGGCGCCAGTACCTCTGGGGCAGCCCGTTTGTTGTCGGGGCGGACCATTCTGACCTCAAGTACACCTGCCGGACCACGGGTCGGCAACCATTCCCCAACACCATTGGGTAGGGAAACTGCTTGGGTTTGACTTCTCTGTCGAATACAAGCCCGGGACGGCAAATGCAGTGGCCGACGCGCTGTCCCGCCACGACACAGTAGAAGACGGGGCGCTGCTCGCACTCTCGGCGCCACACTTCGACTTCCTCGCGCGACTCCGGCAACTCCACGACACCGACCCTGCCCTCGTCGCCTTGCGCGAGGAGATCACCGCCGGCTCCCGCAGCGCACCGTGGACGTTCGTCGACGGCATGGTCCAGTTCGCTGGACGGCTGTACATTCCCCCCGCCTCTCCCTTGGTCCAGGAGATCATGGTGGCAGTGCACGAGGATGGGCACGAAGGGGTTCAGCGCACACTGCACCGTCTCCACCGAGACTTCCATTTTCCTAACATGAAGCAGCTGGTGCAGGATTTCGTGCGCACGTGCGTCATCTGCCAACGATACAAATCGGAGCATTTGCATCCAGCTGGCTTGCTTCTTCCCTTACCGGTGCCGCAGGGTGTCTGGACGGACGTCGCACTCGACTTTGTGGAGGCCCTCCCTCGTGTCCGGGGAAAGTCTGTCATCCTCACCGTGGTGGACAGGTTCAGCAAATACAGCCACTTCATCCCACTGGCGCATCCCTACTCCGCCGAGTCCGTCGCTCAGGCCTTCTTCGCCGACATTGTGCGCCTACACGGCGTGCCACAGTCCTTGGTGTCGGACCGTGATCCCGTTTTCACATCGACGTTTTGGCGCGAGCTCGTGCGCCTGATGGGCACAAAGCTACACATGACGACGGCGTTTCATCCTCAGTCGGACGGGCAATCGGAGGCGGCAAACCGCGTCATCATCATGTACCTACGGTGCCTTACCGGTGACAGGCCGCGCCAGTGGCTTCGCTGGCTGCCATGGGCGGAGTTCGTCTTCAACACCGCCTACCAGACGTCACTGCGGGACACGCCTCTCCACGTCGTCTACGGGCGCGATCCTCCGTCCATCCGGTCCTACGAGCCGGGTGACACGAGGGTGGCTGCGGTCGCCAAGACCATGGAGGAACGCGAAGAGTTCCTGGCTGACGTACGCTATCGTCTGGAGCAGGCACAGGCGACCCAGAAATTGCACTATGACAAGGTGCATCGCCACGTCGCGTATCAGGTGGGCAATTGGGCACTACTTCGGCTCCGGCAACGCGCTGCATCATCGCTGCCCCAAGCCGTCTCCGGCAAGCTCCGACCGCGTTTCTTCGGGCTGTACCACGTCATCGAGTTGATCAACGACGTCGCTGTCCGCCTCGCCCTGCCTTCCCGTGCCCGCCTCCACGACGTGTTCCATGTCGGGCTGCTCAAGAAGTTCAACGGGACCCCGCCAGATGCTCCGCCTCCTCTGCCGCCAATTCACCATGGCGCTGTCGCACCGGAGCCCGCGCGCGCTGTACGCTACCGTCTTGCTCGCGGGGTGCGCCAGTTGCTTGTTCACTGGAAGGGCCAGTCGCCGGCATCAGCTACATGGGAAGACGTGCAGTCGTTCAGCGCCAAGTATCCGGAGTTTCAGCTCGAGGACGAGCTGCCTCTCGAGGGGGGGAAAGATGTCATGGTCGGGCGCACGTACACCAGGCGTCGTCGGGCTCGTGACGTGCGCCGCGACGCTGCACGCGCGGAACGCGCCGAGATCGCGCGCGAGGACGACGCGCTGGGCGCGATCACCGCGAGTGGCTAGGAGGAAAGCCGATCGGGAGTTTCTGTTTTTAGTTCCTTGATTTCAGGAGTGTGTTGCTCCATTCGTTGGGCCTTTGGCCATATATTGGGTGGACTCGGAACAATTAAGGAGGAAGAAAGATTATTATCGTCCAACCTCCCTCTTCCTCTCAACCAACAAGCCTGCGGCGGAGGGGTAAACCTCGCCGGAGAAGACGGACCGCGGCTACGAACTCCGTAGCCAAGGGCCAGCTACCCTAGGGCTCGACGCCCTTGACAAACAAAAAGTAAGACACAGACACTTTATTCTTTTTACCAGAAGATTGAAGGTAATGGGTACATTTGGTGATGTACAAGGGCAAAATAATTTGGTTCATCAAAATGCAAGTGTTTCGGTAGCCGAATGTGGTCTACATTGCCAAATGCAGGATTGTAATCTTGATAACTGGTTCCACTATTGTTAGTACTTTCTACTTTTGGAACTGCAAGCATCATAAGAAACCTCCACACTACCTACTACCAAATGCAATAAGAAGACTGCTCAAAAGTCAACACACAATTGGACAAGGGGGTTACATTGACTGTGTGGTACTCATTCAGATCACATTGCCTTTAATGTGAGATTCACCTTATTCATGGTGTCAATATACGCTGCACGAACTTCTGCATATATCTCCTTAGCATGTTCCTTAAGGAAAATTATCGTGTACCTGCATTTGGATAGCGTTATGGCCAAAAGTTAGAAATTACACAAAAGAACATAATAACACAGATACAGCACATAGCTATGAAATAATTTAACCACATGGGCTTCTGCAACATTCGAAAAAAATTATACTCACACAATAAAGGTATAAATAGTAGCTAGCTATTAAAAATAGGCCGGCAAATAAATTGGTAGAATGATTTGTTGAATGGTTCACTAATCCAACCGGTGGTTTATAAGCCAAACCTGGCAGTTTGTTGATACAATGTTAGCATTTAAATATGTAATTCATACTTGTCAACAAATGCTACAACTTAACGTTTTTATTCTCCACATAGACAACAAGATCTAAACTTTAACAAGCTATCTGTCAAGTTTTTGTTCAGTCCTCCATGAGTAAGACACTACTGATGACAGCCTATGCATGGTTACCGAAAACAGTAGTATGACTTTTCCATAGGTATATGTAGACACACATACTATCACCACAATCTAATGCGCCTTTGATGCAACCTCCCATACCACCATTGTCTGTAATGTCCCTACAGATATCTTGAGGTGTTTCTGAGACCTTTGTACATGAGCCTACATGTACGAGTGGTTTCCATAATCATAAGGAATGATGCGGAACTTTCTCCACAAGTTATAGTTTTTCTCGAACACTCCACAAGTTAAAGTTGGTAATTTAGTAGGATTTTATACCACAAACAGATGAAACGACCTACATTTTTACACAGTTGAAGATTATGTAGTACAGATGAATCTCTACTATTTCTAAACCGATTGATTCTGTGGTCCGTTTACGGGCCTGGGCTGATTTGCTTTTGTCTGTCTGTTTTGGTCCTGGGCCAATTCTTCATCACCATCCATGTCTCCTCCAAGCAGTCTCAGCCACCGCCTCTCCTCCTTCCCTACGACCGCTACACTGAAAAGATCTGCGCCATTGCCCGTTGCCCTGCAGCCTACCCTTTCCTTCTTCATGAATCATGATTATGAGGATGCGTCATCTCAGAAGCAGCAGTGGCATGAATTATAATATTGAAACCATTACTTAGTTCACAGAACTTTGCAGAGACATGGTGAGCGAGACATGTACTGAAAACAGAAACAACAGTACAAGGCTACAAGCCAAATAGGTGTTTGATAAGAAAAATTGGCATACTTGTATTTAAGAAGAACACTCTGCTGTAGAATCTGAATATTAGTCTTTGGTTTTCTCAAGGCATAGAACTTTTGGATGACAAACTCGAAAATCTGCATGAAAAGTTGGACATGCATCAATAACTCTGTGCTGTAGCCTTATACTATTTAAGAAGAACACAGATAAATAATCAGTGAGGAAAAGGTTCAATCATAGATTCCATTATAACTGCCATGTATTAATGCAAATTAAATGAAATATCAAAAAATCATGGTTATTCATGATGACAGTTTATTAACTAGTATGGCTATTATGGGCTATTATGGCTTATAAGTGACACTCTCAGATAGTAATCCATTTGGTTGCAATATATTTTGCTGCTCACACTTCACCATGTACGAACATAGTGCAGATAAAAATTCAAAGAACAGCACAGGAACTCTAATCAGAAAGGTTTGATAACTCATTATCACTCCAGATCATAGCATCGCACTGCAACTAATTGTCCATCATCACTTGCATAGAACAATTATAAGTTCCTCATCCTGCAAAGAGATTGCAAGTTGGAACTTGTAGCTATGTGCCACTGGCCCTAGGCTCCAATTGTCAGTGACATGTGTTACCCAATTCATATACTACTGCAGTGCTACTAAGTTTGTTCCCTTTTCAATATGACTTAGATGTCATTACATAACAATTAACATACATATGGCAAGTTTACCATATGATCTGTCAGTTCACAACCATCATGATTCATGCATCAAGACAGCAAGATGCACTAGCTCTGATAGTCACATCATGCAGACAAAGCATAGACATGGGAAACCACAGAAGGAAAATAAATAAAGTGGGTAGATGACTGGCCAACAGAACTTAAGAACCAACAATTGTTTTTCAAACCTTTGAGACAGCTTTCTGTCGTAGTCTCTCAACCTCAGGCTGAACATCTTTTAGAGCCTTGGACGATTTAACCATGGGATCGGCATCAATGAATTTGATTTTTTTGCTTAGAGTCTCAAGTGTTTTCATATATTCATCATTGACCTGCATGGTTGTTGAATAGAATATTTTCATAAGTCTATTAAAGAAAAGCTCATGAACACTGCTCCAACTACAGAAGAAGCTATGCTGATGGAGCAACACGGTAAATCCGTGTGGCTTGTTTTTTCTCTTAACGTAATCCATGTGACTTGTGATATGTCAAAACTGACAAATAAAGTCTTGTATAGGTAAAGAAAAACAGTGAAAGATTGAGCGAACCAATATATGCAACAGCAAAAATAATGTCACCAAAACAGATACAGTATCATCTAAGATAAGATATGCTTCACTAGTAAAATGGTAATTTATAGGCTTCTTAGAGAAGCAAAGGGATAAAATAAATGATCCCATCATTTAAATTTAACACACTAACCCAAATAGCAGAAAGTTGCATTATTCGTTGCAAATGAATGCTATACTAATTCCAGAAAGGACTTTGATCATAGAATAGAATAAACTAAACCAAATCAACACTGTAAAAATAAACACAAAAACCAGTACTGTCAAAAGCTGGCATAATTAAAGAGTGTAAGTAATAACCTCTCCATCAACAATTATGTCAATCATTCTTGGAGGTACTATTATATCCTCAACAAATTTTGACAGTTTAGACTCTGCAGCCTGCAATTTATTTTCCAAAAGAGAAGAGCCAACATAAGGATCATAAAGATAGCTGAAGTGCTGAACATGAAGAAAAGAAAAATATTATGCATAAAAGCTATGAATACTGGGACCATTTCGAAAATGAACTATTTACGAGTTCTAATGGACCAGAGGATAGTGCCTCCACTTGAAATATTATGGAACTATTGCTTCATATGATTTTAAGACATCTCATTTCTAAATTCTAATAAATGTGAGCCAAAAAGCAAAATTGTGTTATATGTGATAGTAGCACTTATACTTACGTGTTCATTGGTAAACATAACACCTAATAAGAAACATCATCTAATCTAATATTTTCCTAACCATGTCACTTTCATAGTTGCGTGCACAGAAATCAGACTAGAACACCAGCTAAAGGGATAAGACAGGTAAACCATAAAACATGGGAGATGGACAACATCATGTCCAGCATAAAGCAGCCTTAACAAAGGAACTAATGGCAAATGAAACCTAAGAATGAAATATACAAAATATGCAATGAACCAGACCTTACGATTTTTCAGCTTTAATCCCATATCCATAGATTTCTCCTGAAGGACCTTTATCTCCGAACTTATGGAACCAATTTCTGTCTACCACAGAAGTCAAAACATTGAAATATGACTTAGTAAAGAAAGGAGGGCCAACCTTTTTTATCTAAAGGTGCATACATACAGAGAACCAGTAAAGCCTGAATAGTCTGGCATTAAAAAGAGTATTTTCCATTACATTTAAAACAAATTATAAGTCTTGAACCATTAATAATCCAGAAAAGGTGTCATCCAGAGTACATCACTGAATCTGTTAAATGGATCCCATAAATTGAAATTACAATCCTTACAAAACGCATGGAATGCAGAAGATACAATGCAGAACTTGGTGTGCATAGCTCCATCTCTAATTATAGTTACTACATGACATGTTGAATGTAAAGGGTCATACCCTAGGTAAATTTTCGTGTAACTAACAATCTAAGCTCAGAAACAATTAATTGAACTGCTAACAACAAAAAAATGCATAGCCCAAATTTGACATAGGTTGTGTACAGCTACTCTCTTGGCTATCCAGCATTTACGGGAATGTCTCATGTAGTATTAACACAAAAAAAAGGGATATGTAATTACCTGGAATCCAGTCAGAACCGTTTCCATTTGTGACAAAATATTGTCACAATCGCGAATTTGATCATGCAGAGAAACTAGATTTTCACTTTCCTTAATGTAATCCTACAAACAAAAGGAAGACAGAACTTCTTAATGCCAAGACAGTAACCACTAGTGATTTCTTTTTCAGCAGCGCTATGAAATCTCAGCAGTCCCAAGTCCATTGTGGCATTGTCTACACATAACTTCACTACTCTTGAACAACTGTTTGGTGATTCAGCATAAAATTTTGATCAAGAGAATGATCATATCAGTTCAACGTAAAGTTATTCAACAAATCAGGTTGACATTCAATCTAACATTTGATTGCCCAAAGCATAATTGGCATTAACTACTTAACAAGAAAGAGAAAAGTGATAACAATGCCTAAAACAATCACCTGTATAGAATCCAGCTCAATTTGGCGTATGTTATTTTCGACGCCTTTTGTGTACTCACGCAGTTTGATGCCATTGGCCAGAATGTTTGCGACTTCCTGCGTATGCGAAGAATGAAAATAACAGTGATCATCAAGACAGAGGCAAGGGGGCAATGTTTCATACAGTGTGCTGGTACCAAAACATTGCGGCAAGCTCAAAATGGCAGCAATGCAATCCACTTACTTCAAGGTCTCAGTGAGGCGTAAGCTGACTATCTAGTACTATACAGATATCATATATTATAAGCTGGAGTAAAACACGACACCTGGTCATTCTTGCAGTTGTCAAGCTCCTGCTGCAGCCCCTCCAGGGACTCGTCGTCACTGGCAACGATGAATCAGCGCACACTTCAGAATTGCAGTTAGAACGATAGGGACAGCAGACAGCACACGACGCAATCAGAGACAGAAGAGCTGGCGATCGTAGTACCTGGTGACTTCCTCGTCGAGGGGGAGGTCGTCTACGAAGACCCCGAGATCGAACCTGTCCTTGTGCCCGTCAAGGGTCTCCGCAGCAGGGGCGGCCGCCATCTCGGGCCGGAGATCGCCGGGACGGACGGCGGACGGCGTCGGCCGGCTGGCTGGCTAGCTCCGATCTAGATCTGCCACCGGAGGAAGGCTGGGATCGGATCGGACGGGGTCCCCGGGAAATGGAGGAGACCCGGACCAGCTGTCGTCGGGTGGGTTGGAATTGGAAGGATGTGTTGAGCTGCACTTGGGCCTGTGATCTGTGCTCGTATCTAACTGCAGACCACGCGGCCAGTTAATTCTTTCGGCCCATATAACCGTATGCTTAGTTAACATATTCGGCCATTTCAGCCCAAGTTCCTTTTCTCTTTTTGGTCTTGATAGATTTGATTGTAGTACACGAGAGCCACAAAAAGTTTAATAGACCAGATAACATTCCACTAAAAAAAATAGACCAGATAACATATGGAATGTTCTTAATCGAAAACATGTTTATTTCTTTCCGTAGTTGGTTTTTTCTCTTTTTTGTTAGCTTATATTATAAAAAAAAAAATCATATGACATTGCATGTGAACTAATGCAACACCAAATTTTAAGATCATTAGACTAGTGGAACATTCAAAACCTTTTAACAAAATATCATATGAAAATACTTACGAGTAATAAATAGGTGGACTAAGCTTCGCTTAGTTAGTTAAGCTGCCTACCTGGCATCCATTGATGGATAATTCCAAGGTGTAGATGCTAAGGCGCTTCAAATTTGTCGTTACTTAGGCCCTGTTCGCTGGTCTGAAACTTGGCTGGAAAATACTGTTCCGGCTGGTTTGTTGTGAGAGAAAAACACTGTTCAGCTGAATGGATGAATAGTGTCACGTGAGGGGAACCAGCCGGCTGGCTGGTTGCATCCATACCAGCGAACACCACCTTAACTTGATAATAGTTAACAACTGTCACAACGAGATTCGCTTTGAGATAAACTACAGATCTGAAGTTTTTAGCAATAATGTAACCAACACTGGTGTCAGCTACTCAACTCGCTCATCACATGGGCGTGGAGACCACGCCAACTTGGACACTAACGAATAGCTTAATCACCTCAAGGCAGAGATCTGTCAAATAATTTCAGAGGCTCCAGTAGTCCAGTGCTTAGCTAAAAAAATACGATGGTGCCTGACTCCTGCCTGCTTTTCTACATGATTTAATTACAAATACATTTTTTTATGAGTGAACGACAAAGTAGGCCTCAGGCCATGTTTGGATGCGTATATATTCATCTCAATCCACATGTGTTGAAGTGGATTGTAGTGAAATTAAACTAAGTTTAATTTCATTCCACTCCAACACATGTGGATTGGAGTGAATACACGTGCTTCTAAACAAGACCTTAACTGGTCAACAGAACAAATAATGGCATAATGTTGTTACCAATTCTGCATTTTGGCATAAGTTGCGAGTACTAGTAATCATTGCACATGCCAGCAACAATCAGACATATCCGAGGCAAATATATACACACGCTCATACACGAAGCACGTATATATATACGTATGACGCGTGTCCATACATGCAAACCACAAATTGTCATGTCGTCGGCTCGTCGCAATGGGCTAGACTCAACTTCAGAGAATGAGAGAAACAGTGGATAGATACTAGTAACGTGCATGGAAAAAATCAGTGCGTGTTTAGTTCAAAAAAAGTTTCAAAAAAGTGCTGCAGTATCCATCACATCAAATCTTGCGATACATGTATGGAGCATTAAATGTAGATGAAAAAAACGAACGTTTTGAGCCTAATTAGTCCATGATTGAACACTATTTGCCAAATAAAAACGAAAATGCTACAGTACCCAAATTCCAACTTTCCCTCCAACTAAACACAGCCTCAACCAGAAATATACATTGATAAATAAATGATACAAAAGATGTATGGCCATGCAACATTTAAGGATGAAATAGAATTTCATGAAAGTAGAAACAAAAAAGGGAAAAAAAACATTGCAAAATAGAAACGGGTCGTTGATCTATATGAACAGTGTTTCTCTGGCCCAATTGCAGTTGATTCTCCTTCTATGTTTCTCATGCACGAAATGATCAGCTTATTATGGATTCATAATCGAGCCATGAGCAGCTCGGTTTTACCCGAATTTTGCAATGATCTTTTTGTGCACGCGGAGGAGCTAGCTAGCCGCTTTCCCAATCGTCGGCCAATTATTCGCTAACCGAGGAAGATGGAGGTCGCCGGGCCTACGTGGCGGTCTGCCTGATCAATCTGCGCCCGCGCGTGGCCGATCGCGGAAATGGCCGGCAAAGATCGGCCGGGCTAACATGCGTGCCCTGCTTCCCATCGCCAGTTTTTTACCTTCAATTCAACAAAAGTACCTTTTTCCCCATATATTTAGTTTTTTTTTCATACTTAGAACACCACTACGACGCACTTTCAAGTTTCAGCCTCTTCGTTATATTAATCCGTTCGACTGATGGGGATGGTTTCTGCGGCTGATAAGCCGGCTGAAGCTTATTTATTGTGAAAGAAAACACTCCCACGGTTGATAAGTTTAAGCGAACATGGTTGTTCTGTTATAAGTCAAACATGATTGTTATTAACAATAAAATCTATCCAAGACCATACCATCCCCACAAAGCACATCGCAGAACTCCTAGTATAGATAGATGAGTGCAAAGAAGGCCATGAGACTAGTCGTCGATCAAACCAAAGTGTCCTGACTCCTGAGCATTCCACGAGCAGTGCAGCTAGCGGTCGGTAGGCAGTGATGGCCCCGGATCTGCTAACACCCACTGGTACGGTCCCCCAAGCCCAAACACATAATTAGTAGTTATCCATCTTTTCCCCCGAGCAAATTGATTCATGCCTCGTGATTCACAGGACAGTGATCGATATTGCAGTAATAACCCCCTCTCATCAAAAGAAAAGCACCACCAACACAACGTACTAGTAGTACTGCAATAATGCGGAGAGGCGTCTCGGCCCCTGGTTCTGGTCGACGTCCACCTGGGCAGCCTACAAGAGGAATCTGTCAGTCAGTCCATGTACCAACAGTACCATGGAGTCATGGAGCTGATAGGAATTCTTGGCATGCAGACATGCAGTGAACTCATTAGCGTAGTGTACGTCGTTCTCTTCTCATAGGAGTACGCCGATCGATCGACGAGCATATGGCAAATGTGCAGAGGTCACTCACAGAAACACGACAGCACAGCCTACGCAGCCACTCTGCAAGTTCAATGTGGCACTCCACCGATCAAACCACTGCTCCTTGCCTCCTCCTTGCTACTGCAAGGTAGCCACGAGAAAATCATGTATGTATTGCTGCCTGCCTGCCACGTGATGAACCTGAACCAGCGCATGCCATGACTGACCTCAGTCACAGTAAAGCCAGAATCGTGCCCACCATCATATATTCTTTCAGCGTTTGTTTGACCCACACACGTAGGACTAGGAGCAATAAACTGCTCAGACAATGCAAATCCGGCGCTGCACATGCTCCTCCGGCACACCGCCCCGACTGAAAGACTCCGAGAGGAAGAAGAGGAATCAGGAATGGATCAGAATTGGCCACCGAGAGATGGAGGAAGACGAAACTGATCCGGCACGCGGCCCCGACGTGGACGGTGGACACCCAGCAGACTAGCAGAGCTCGATCGCCATGTGCCAGCCGGCTGCTGCGCCTTATCTCTGCCCGGCCTTCCACAGTGGTGGCGGTGAAAACCTTGGGATGGGAAGCAAGCACCGTGCTCAACATTCCCTGCCCCTGTTCCGGTCCACGCTAGCTCAGCTCAAGACCTGAAACTGAAGCTGAAGCTGAACCCGGTCACGGTGGATGAGGCTGACGATGATGGCGATGCATGCCTGACAGCCACCACATGCCCGTCGCCCACAATCATCAGCCCAGCCCACATGGCCTGTTGTGTTCACCGGGACTCCGGGAGTATCGCATTGCATGCATCCTGCTGGTGCTGGTGCAGGGCCAGCCACGCCCGGCCCCGGCGCCCCCCTTCCCCCGCCCGGCCGCCCTTCATAAATCCACGGCCGGCGCCTGCCTCTTCTCCCTGTCTCCCCCTCCTCATCACATAGCTGAGCTGCCCACGAGCAATTACACTCCTCTCAAGTCTAAACCGAATCCACCCACAGACCATTGCATGCATACTCCGTACACTCTGCTCTGGACGCCCTTTCTCTTCTGCCTGCCAAGTTCCTCCTGGCCTGAGGATAGGATATATATACATCATAGATAGCCCGTCAATGGCGCCAAGTCCGATCGAGGTGATCAATCCATACCTCGGCTTCAAAAGGAGGTAGCTTCCTTAGCTTTCCAGAGCACAAGAACTAGCCAAAAAATGCCGACTAGAATGGCAAAGGCCTTCTCCCAGGAGGCCACGGAATTTGGCGGCCAGATGGGGTGCATGGCCACCATGTTCCACATCTTCGACCGCCGCCACCTTCTCACCGGGCGACGACATGGTGACTGCCCTGGAACCATGGACGAACTGCCTCCAGCAGCAGCGGCAGGTACTTCGGCTCTGCTACCTTTTCATTACTACTTTGCCATCTGTTCCCCCCGACTGAAGAACCCATCCGTCCTTGCATACAAAAAAACAAAGTTCAAGAAGCCATCAGGCGACCAACTGAACTGTACCATTATAATAGTGCTGGAAGTATAAGCTGTAGGGTGCCAAACAAAAGTAGTTTAAAAATTTATTTCATGTTGAACGTAGTACAACTGTACAAGGCAAAAACAACGACTCTTTATTGGGAAGTACATGAACAAGAACAATGATCACCCATGGTATAGTACAAGCTGCAGGCGTGCAACTTCACTTCACACATATAAGATAGCAAAAGCCAAGGCCCAAGGGTGTCATGAAAAACTACATGGTAATAAAAAAGTTCATGATCGTGCAATCATTTTGTATTTCATTTCAGGCATTTCCGTTTTTTCTCCATCAATTCATTTTTTCCTGATTACCTGCATCACCCTGCTTTAAGCATAATATAAACTATACTTCTCGGATATTAGTTCTAATACACTGTGTTTCTGTTGTCCA